TGGGGGGGGGGGGGGGGGGGGGGCAGCTATGGAATGTGTTACCAGGGTTTTCTATACCAGCTGCCCTCCAAATTCACACCCATTTCAATTGCCCAAGTGTGTGTGTGTGTGTGTGTGTGTGTGTGTGTGTGTGTGTGTGTGTGTGTGTTTGTGTGTATGTGAATTATACAAACTCGCCATCTGTGTGTGCGCCACAAATCCAACACAGTTTCGATTCTGCCCCAAAGACAGAAAACGTGTTGATGTGGGGAAGGGGGGGGATTTAAAAAAAATAAATAAATAAAAAAAACAACTTCTAAAGGACTCTTGAGATGCCTGGGGATTTTTTCCATGACAAACCATCGCCTTTCCCAATGCTGAGTGGTGGGAACTGGCCACTTTGTTTGTATGAAGCAGTGTCTGTGAGGAATGCGGGGTTTTGGCCCGGGTGGGGGGGGGGGGGGCATGATAACTCCCACTCCTTTCAGATTTATGGTGAAGACAGAGGGGCTCTGGATGCGTGTGGAGGGAGCGTTTCCAGCCAAAGCAAATGTTTGGTGGAACATTTTCTTTACATCCTGCTCTGTGTTTCTCCTCTGTGCGTCGTGTGGAAAAGGCTAGCAGCCGTTTTCTTGTAAAGCGTTTAGCAAACGTTCACGTTTCAGTCTGCGAACAGGAGCTCTGTGGCCTGTGGTGAGCAGTTTGGAAGTTCATTAGAAACCGAGCAAAAAACTGGTGGTGGTTTGAGCACATTTACGTAACGTGAGAGGCTTCGTTTTTGTTTTTTTTTACGTTTTCGCCTTTTAACCCCTGTGTGGTGTTCATATTGTTGTTGCTCAGCCAGTGTTTGTGGGTCTGACGGACCCGTTGCATTTTGTGGCTTTTAATGCCTCAAAATCGCTTTTATTTTAAAACACTTTTATATTAAAATACTGAACAGATGTTTACCTTATCTTAACTTCTCTCTCTCTCATCCAAAATCAATTCCAGGGCCTCTGGGCAGAGAACCTGTCGGCCATCTTGATCGGTTATAAGAAACCACACTAGCTAAACTGTACCAGTGTGGCCCCGCCCCCAATTTTTAGCAGATAGACAGAAAATTAGAGCAGAAAAACAATGTGTGGGAACTGTTTCTTTTGTTTTTGTGCACCTGCA